CAATTTATCATTTTGACTATATGAATATATCATTTTAATTAATCCACTCACGGTGGAGAATACAAATCCGAATTGAACCATCACTAGAACGAATTGGGTCCTATTAAAATCGAGTCTCAAAATGGTACTTTAAATAAGGGGTTTTTTTTTTTTTTTTTTTTTTTTTTTTTTTAACAGTCAAAGAATACTCTGTCAATTAATGATTTATTATAAGTTAATCTAAAAGCTAGAAATGGTAAATTCGTCAATTAAGAGGTCAAAAATCTAACAGTTCAAAGAATACTCTGTCAATTAATGATTTATTATAAGTTAATCTAAAAGCTAGAAATGGTAAATTCGTCAATTAAGAGGTCAAAAACAGCTATTGGCATAGAAATATAGATTCGAAATGAGGAGGGTGTGGTGTAGTTTTGAGAACATCTACAATAAAGGGTCACTTTACCATATAGGGTCACTTTTTAATAAATCAAAATAAAATGTATAAAATCGTAAATACCCCTTAGTTTTATAAGCAATCTCCCAACAGAAAGTATAATTGGTAGGATTGAAAGATAATAGAGATCATGGCTAATTATGGGAATCATGTAGTTAATAATAATTTTTTTGGCAGATTTTTACTAATGTTAATATCAGTAGTTAATAATAATAATAATGATGAGGTTTGGTTTTCAATTGATTTCTCAGACCCTAATATGGACAGCATTGCAATAATGATGAATAACGCTACGTCGAAGTCACTACTTCTTATTTAATGGTATTGAGCCCCTCCAAGGCCTAGGTATAACTAATTAGTTTCTAAATTTTTTTTGATGAAACATGTTTTTCTAAATATGGATGGATTGCTTTAACTAATTATAATTATAATCTTATATTATATTATAATTCAGGCGAAGGGATGAAGGAAAAGTTGGAAAGCTGTCTTGGGATTAATTCCCCATCCAGCCTTCTACGCAGCCGGTTGAAAAATTATGGAAGTTATACAAAGGTTGTTTGGTGGAAGAAGAGAATAATATTACTGAAGATGATAATAAAAAAATTAGTGCTTTCAATGCCAATGGACAAGTTTAAACAAGGCTTAGAAGTTTTCTTGTCAAAATGGTCAGACCAACAATATGTTATCAAGTTTTTCATTCTAGAAAAACAACCCAAATTAGGAACGATATATTCGTTTTCTTTAATGACAATTACGGTGCGTAATTTATAATCCACTCTTCTTTTAAGAAAAAAAAAAACAATTTAATTACAAATGTGCTGCTTATGATATATACTTTGGTTTTTTTTTTTTTCTTAGAGCCTGATCTTGATGCTATAGCGCACACGATTCGTCAAGCTATACGTGATTCTTCAGTAGAAGCTACTGTTGAAGTTGGCACATATGTGCAGGTATACAATTAATATATGTCTTCTTCAATTTTAATTTTTTTTAATTAATTGGTTAATTAATTAATTTCCGTATGTGTATGCAATCGCCTTTTAATTTATAGATTTGAGCATATATTTAAGTTTGTTTTAGAGACACAGGCCTTATATTTCAATTCTAAGAGATAAACCTCCTTTTGGTTTATTGGTTCGAATTGTGTTGATATTTGAGTAGAAAAATAGGGTTATAGTCCAATGGTTCGAATTGTGTTAATATTTAAACATAAAAATTCAAACTGTGTGGTTTAATAAGTAATCTAAAATAGTGTATAAATGTACAGATAAATTTTTGAACAGGGAATAAAATTTAAATTTATGTTTGGTAGATGTAAAGAGGAGAGAGAATGAGCATCTGTTTACTGTTAAAAAAAGGTTTGAATGGTTAAACTTAAAAGGGAGTTAAACTCTAAGTTAAATAGTTCTTAGGGAAATATAATTTGGACTGCGTGCTTACTAAGTGTGAGTTCAAGTTGTACTCAAGATTTGAATTAAGTCGAATTGAGCTAAATCGGTAAAACAAACATAGATCCTTTCTATTTGTGTCTCGTATTACATTTTTTCCCCCTCCTCGAGGAAGCATGTTGATTGTGAATAGTTTACATAAGCTTAAAGTGTTTTTTTTTTTTTTGAGCAATTAAATAAGCTTAAAGCTCTTCAGCCAAAAATAACAGATTTGAATCATTGTTCTTCTGTAATTTTTTGCTTGCTTATTATATAATGGGGACAGTTTTGGATGACACACCAAATTTTTTAGCTCATTAAGCTTAACTTTTTTATTTTGTATCTACGCAGGTAGCGCAGCAACTGTTGGCCATTAATCAAAGTTTTTAGGACGGAAATTATTAGATCCATTTAAGTTTTTAAGAAACACAGGTAATTTATTCTTTTATACAATGCATAATTGCATATAGATGGTCATTTTTCAAGAATTATGACTTTAGACATTTACACGTTGCTTGTAGGTAGCCAAAAACCGAGGCAATTTTTTTTTTTTTTTTTTTTTGAGCAAAAAGACCCAGGCAATTGATGCTGATTAAGAGTTAGGGCCTGTTTGAATTGGTTTAAAAAAAACTATGTTTGACTTATTTAGTCCAAAAGTCAATTTTGAATCTATTTAGATGGATATCCACGGAGCGGTTCGTCCTATTCAGATATTCACGACCAAGAAGTACTGGATTCTCTTTCGGATAGGCCCTGAAAGGAGAAGGGAGGCTGGAATGCCAACAGGCGTCTAGTCTTAAAGTGTTTTTGACATTTTAAGCACTTTTAGAACAAGACATCTCCTTAGTGTTTATGAAAAAAGTACTTATGAAAAGCCTTTTTTTTGTTTTACATTTTTTACTTTTTATTTGTGAACAACAAATTAAATATCTCATTTATATCTTTTTATTACATTACTTTTTATAAAAGTACTTTTTCAGACAATTTTCAAACACTAATTAAAAAGTCTAAATTTATATTTATCTTTTTCTACTACTTAAAAGCACAAGTCCCTTAGTAAATTTTAGTAGTTTAAATTTGTTAGTTATGTTTATCTAGATTATGTTTCTTTTATGGTAGTATTTAAGATTTAGTTGATTTTATCTTTTGTTTTATTTTTTTAATACTTGAGAGTTGGGAATATTTTTTCGTTACTTGAGAATTGGGAATACACAGTTTCTAACATTTTTTTCGTTATTTTGTTCTTTTTTTTTTTTAAATGTTTCGTGCTTCTAATTACTGTTTGAAATTTATGCGTTCTTTGATTTTATGTGTAATTTACATTACGTAAATGGCATGAATGGGATTAATAAAATAATACATGCCAATAATTGTGTTAAAAGATAACTATGAGACTTAAATTCAAAGTACAAACTAGGATTAACCTCGGTGCTTTTCTCCAGGGAAAAAGTCAAAAATATCACTTAAAATAGTAAAAAATATTATTTATGTCAGTCTACTTAGAAATAAACAATTATCATTCAATTAATATGAAGAAAATAAGATGCCATAATGACATCTAATTACTTAGAATAGCATACATAAATAATAGAGTTCAAGAAAATAATAGTTAAACTTGAAATTTTCTCTTACTTTCTTCTTCCATTCTATTTTTCAAAGTTTAGAGATTTTGTGCCTTATTATTTTGACTTAGATTCTTGTTGATAACTTAAGATTGATAAAATAACAATAATAATATTAAAAATCTTTAGAGGAAGAGAGGTCAGAAAACAATTAAAAAATGGCAGAACAATTACCTTCTAACAATACTTGACAAATTGATTGTCCATTATTTCTTTTTATAAACTAACGCCCTCCTTGTTCAATGATCAGAAGTATCATCTAACCGCTTTTACTCTTTCTTCTCTGTGGATGCAAATGGAGCAGCCGCAATTCTCCCACCAGCGGTTGCTGAGGCATTAGCTGGTAATTTCATTCTCGATTTGTCTTAGTTCATGAAATTTGAGGCAATTATGATCGATTATCTTTAATCTTTAAAATGAAATGCATAACTGAGATCTTCTAGTTCGTCTCGTAAAAATGATAACTGTGCCAATCACTTATTCATCATTGTACTGAAAATTATGAAATTCTAAGTTTTTTCAACTAAGAGTTTGGTTCCCTTGGTTTAAAATGAGATAATGCATCCACCTTTTTCCGATGTGGAAGAGGCAAGAGACTTCATCCTTCATTTTTCCAATTAGAATTCTTTATTTTCCTTTTTAGTTTTATGATCAATCTCCAAATAGAGGTATAAAATTTATAGAAAACTCCTTTTGCATTACGACTATTAATTATTAACGTAAAGGACACTACCCTTTTTTTCTAATTCATATCAACTCAAAAGGAATGTTTTTTTTTTTTTTTTTTTTTTCTTAAGCACATTTCTTCCTGGTGATATTACCTCAGGTATCTCTATTTTCTTTTCTTTATTTTTTTATTTACGAATTTATTGGTGTCAATATGAGTAATTAATAATAATGTGGTATTAGCAAAGGTGACATCTTTATCTGGTTTTGGCATTTACTTTTGGATTTGATATGGAAAGTCTCAAAGTTTTGTTCTTTTGTTCATTTTTCATTTTTTTTTTCTTGGTTTTATAGGATCTGGCAAAACTGATGCTTCCTTTTTTTTTTTTTAGATTTATGTGTTCTCCGATTTTGTGTAATTATGTGAATGACATGAATTGCATTAATAAAATAATATATGCCTGTAATTGTGTTAAAAGATAACTATGAAACTTTATTTCAAATTACAAACTAGTATTATCCCTCGGCTCTTCTAATCTTTTGTTTTTTCTCTTTCAAATTTTAGTTTTGATATTTAGATTCATTGTTGATAACTTCAGATTTATATAAATCAAAAAATCTTTAGAGAAAGAGATTGGAGAGCAAATCTAATATTTTATGTTTTTCTAGTTTGAAATCTTATCTCTATGCCTTCTTCCCGTAGAATTCTAATTTTTGCCTCTTTAGTTTTATAATTTGTAGAAAGTTCCCTTTTCAATACGATTACTAATTATTATGTTTGTTTTCTCTTTCTTTTTTTCTAATATACATAAACTTAAAGGATAGTTTCTTTTTTCTTTTTAGTATGTTTCCTGATATTATTATTATTATTTTTTTTTTTTTTGTTTCTTTTAAGTACGTTTCCTTTTCTACCGACTTTGAGGCTATATATATAGGTCTCTTCGCTATATATATAGTCTCTTCTTCGTCCAATTCTCTCCAACGATTTGCTGAGTGACACTTGCAAATTTGATAGAGATCATGGCTGATTGGAAAACTCTCTCAAGGAAATTGCACTCGAAGTTCAAGACGACGCCATTCCTGTTTTGGAAACTGTTCGTCCATCTAAATTGAAAACTGTTTTAAATACCAAAGAGAGAACTAACATTACACTTGAAGAGAAAATAAAAATAAAAAAAAGTATACTTTTCTTTTTAAATGCAAGATTTTCCCTCCAGGCTTTGATGTATCGTGTGCTTATAAATGCTGGGCCCTTAGTTTTAGAAAGTGAAAGAGGAAGTGCTAATCAGACACTAAGCTCAAGAGGTTGAAGAACCAATGGAACGTCCTCATCTTTTCTTTGCTTCTGCTTCCATGCGAGGGAGAAAGGTCGAAGAATAAGTCTCGATAAGCGACTTACCGGGTCCTGAAGACCTTCCATCTCGTAGTGTCCAAATCGCCAATCACGGTCGATATAAGGTCGTTGTATAGGTTCATCAAGGCCCCCTGATATAGCAATGAAGAAAATGGTGGGTGATTAGCAATTATTGACATAAAACTGAAGATAATCTGAGTGATAAACAACACTAACACCGACATCAAAACTTGGTACTTGTCACGCATACGTAGATTATAGTTAACATGAATTAGATATTTGAGATTGCATATTTCCATGATAACCATCCCCAATTTCATTTTTTGGAGCAATTTTAACAAATTAATCCGCCTTCCAGATATATTTTTTCTTTTCCCTTTTAATGGATGATCAGATTCAAGAAAGAGAGGTTAAAATAAAAGATCTCGAGCTGCATAGTTTACCTGCGTACATCAGACCTTGTTTGTTAACTGCACGGTAAAAAGGTCGCGTTTTTCTCTCTTTTGCAGCTCTGCGGAGTTTGTTCCATGCGAGTGCCCTGTCTTCACGTGTAACTTTATGCGTCGTCACCACCTGAATTGGAGAAACATGTTAAATGTTTTACCAGGAAGCATGATTACGATTTACGGCATAGAAACTGACTGAACAAGCAAGCAGAAGAAATAACAACCTTAGTAAATAGTTGGTAAGAAGGGCGTGGTTTCCTCGCAAGGCCATTGGCGCGATCAACAGCTACAAGTCCAAACTTGGGACCATATCCATCGGCCCACTCCCAGTTATCGGAAATAGTCCAAAACAGGTAGCCTAGCACTGGGACACCCTATAGAACAATAATGAACATATTCAGATCACCACTTAATCGTATTAAATGAAGGAAATATTAATTTGAAAGGTATTTAAAATTTCAGACTAGAGTCAAGACCATGATCATGGCTGCATAAACAGCTAATAGATGCTCTAACAAATACGGCTGACGAACTAAATCTGTCTCATCAGCTACCCCATTTTCAGTAATGATGAAGGGTACATTCAAATGTTTGTATCTTTCATGGAACTGAAGCAGCATGCGGTACAAGCCATCAGGATACACGCCACGTCCAGATTCGCTATACTCGTCTGTTTCTACTAGCTTCAATCCAGGACCACACACCACTTCCTGATCAATAGGCGAATAAAGTCAGTGTTCAAAAATCATTCTGGATTGTACGCAAAAAACCAGAAGGTCCAACATATACTTAATTTAAGAGGTAAAAGAAAACCTGTCCATAGTAGTTTATGCCTATAAAATCAAGCTTGTCAGAAATGCTATCCACATAAGGAAATAGAGTCAAGGAATTGGCGATCGTAACAGAAGCAGTATCAAAGAGACCATATGGCCGCATGAACGAGACATGGTGAGATACTCCAACTATCGGATTTGGCGAGATGCTGATGAAAGACAAACACAGATATTGAAATGAAAAGTAAGGAACACAGAGGTTTAAGAGAGGGCATAGTTCCATAAATTAATTTATGACGCAATGAAGAAGTCGTCTAACTATTTCCTACTACTAGCAAAAGCAATGACATTTCTTGGTTTCATTGAAGTTGACAACATAACACCAAGTCAAATTTGTCAAGAATACTTAAGAAAGTGTAATACAAAGATTTTTTTTTAAAGAACTTCTACGGGTAAAAAAAACCTCCGTTCATGGATATAGTCATAGGCTTTAGAGTGTGCAATAGCCATCCAATGCATGGCTTGCTGGAAAACACCCGTTGGCAAAGCGGAAGTCGCAGCCTCCAGCATATCAGGATGACCACCGGGCCAAGCACCCGCACTATAAGTAAGCATGCTGAAGACATGAGGTTCATTAAATGTCACCCAGTAGTCTACTAAATCCGATACATTGTCGACAACAAGCCTGAAATGTACAAATAAGAGAGGTTAGAAAACAAATAGAATATGGGTCACTCCGCAAACATGAAATATGTTTCAGTCCAATGTGAAGCCTTGAGAAAAGACAAAAGTTACTTATTTGGTGTCCAATTTGTTTGCTTTAGCCTCAAACGGACGAGAAAGAGGTAATCACTTCATGCTATACAGCTAGGACGTATTAAAAAAAATCTAGAGGAAAAATGACCTGGTAAAATCCATGAAATAATCTACTGTTTTTTCCAGCTTCCACCCACCATATTCCCCAGCCCATGATGGCAATGAGTGATGAAAAAGAGTCAGCATAACCTTCATTCCATATGAATGAACTCTGTTGATTATCCACTTATAACGCTCCAAAGCTGCATAATTAACCTAAGAAAAATAGTCATGAAGCTGAATTCAATCCACTTATAATAACACTCCAATAGAGCGTAGGAAATCCGAAGCAATAAACAGAACATTATATCATGAAGTAATCCACAGAAGCCACTCTTAAAAGAGGAAAAATAATCTAACAAAACTCTGCAACGGCATTGGTTAACTTATCAAATATTAGATCATTATGAGAAAGCAAAAGGACGTGGTCGATCACCCAACATGACAATTTAATCCATAATCATCTTCAATTCACCAAATATCAGAATGATTCATTGGATCATTTGCATGTGAAAACACTAGAATTAGACTTACCGTTTCTTTAAGATTGTTCAATGGCTCCACTGGCATAATTCGCGACCAATCTATTCCCATTCTAAATACGCTGACACCAGTATCCTTTGCCAATTTCAGTTCTGTATCTGGATCAGACCAAAACCTTAGCCTCTCCTCTCTGCAACCAATTTAAGAATCAATTTTACACCTTAAGCCAACAAAAGATGGTGTCATCTCAATTCATGGAATAATAACCAGCAAGATATAAGGACCATTTTAAAAGCATAATACATTTTATTTCTAATATGCTTTAGAATTCCAAGACACAAAGTTTGAAAGACTCAGGTTTACGGGTGTGGGACATTGTGCCATGCTGCTACGTTATGATGACCTTCTTGATTTGGAACAGATCCTTCTTCTTCTCCTCCTCCTTCTAAGTACTTCTCGAACCCTCTAATCATTGCTTCCATAGCTATCTTAAGAGGCTTCTTCTTCTTAACTGTTTTGTTAGCTTTATCACGAGAAGATGAAGCATGTTGAGACCCACCATCACCACTAGCTGGACCCGCCAAGGCATCCACTAGCTTCGGGTGGTCCTCCTGTATCTCAGTTTCCTTGTGAGGATTTTCTTCCGCGAACTCGAGCCAAGCGTCATTTAACCTGTCCTCAACATGTGCTGGCGCTGTCGCCAGCCCGAAGAAAAACTCATTCTCGCCATCTGCAATGAACATACAACAAAAGCACTTGAAAAATAAACTCTTTGATACCAAGTCCCACTACGCTCTCAGAGCACGTTTACTAAATTGTAATGGAAAGAAAAAAAATTAGAAAAGGGAATCATTATTTATTTACTCCTTTTCTAGTATCTAGTTGCTTATATTAGAAAGGGGGATTGTATACTTTCTAGTAATCTACAACTAACATGTCTTTGTGCATATAATTATTGTGAATTAATTCCAATCAAAGGATCATAATAAGAGATAATCAATTCCAACAATCATAATTAATAAGAGATCATTAAACTTTCTTCACAAGTGGGACATGAAAATAATAAGCAAATCCCTTCAGAAAAAGAAAATATGAAGCAAATACAAAACTAATTTCAACTCAAACATGAATTTCAAAAGCGATCATCTTTTGATATTAACTATGAACATTACTCGAAATCAGTGAATGTAGCAGTTAATTACTAACCGCAACACAGCATAAATCAACACCAATTATTTGATCTCGTCAACATTTGGAAGCAATTAAACAGGAAAAAAAAAATCAGCATCGTCATTTTTCTTCGAAAATGAATCACGGACTGAAAATTGAAGGAAGTTCTTCGAAAAGGAAAGAGCATTTACCGTTGAGATTGAAGTCGGCTAGAGTGTCGGAGGACTCATCGATAGGAGAGCGGAAGCGGCGGAGATTTTTCCGGCGATAGCGGGAGAAAGAGAAGGCGTTGGTGGCGACGGTGACAGTGACTAGGATTCCGGCGAGCTTCGTCGCCGACACGAACAGAGCAATTAGCGCCATTTCTGAGTTGAGAAAATTATAACCATAAATGAAAAAAGAAAGGAAAAAGCCATGGAAGGATTGGTTAGACTAGAAAGGAGCTGACGAAAGAAGCCACGTGTCCAAAATCGTTGATTGAGAGCCGTGATGAAACTGGGAATGTCTTATTTGTGGGCCCTATTCAACGGATGAGAAACAAGAATAATGCAAAGAACAACAACCGTTTTTGAATCAGGAATTTAGTAGAGAAACGACAATGGCACAGAAAACGACATTAAAGAAAATACGACAGCAACGTATAAACGACAGACGACATTAACGGGCGCCATACGACACACTCGTGATTCGTTATGTTTTATTGGCAGAGCCTCCAAGATGGACCTGATAATAAGACTAGCACTCTGTTTGGTAAGAAAGAAAGAAAATTGGAGGAGAAGGAAAATAATACATAGAAAATTAGAAAGATAGAAAAGATTTTATTTTCTCTTGACTTGTTTGGTGTGATAGGGAAGAAAGAAAATAAATCTACCTTCCCAAAATCCCTCCAACATTTTATTTCCTTTCACTTTTCATTCATACCAAACACACTGTAGGGATGGCAATTTGAGTCATGACATGAAACACGACTTGAAATCCGCATGAAATTAACAAGTTTGGGTTTACTATAAATGAGTTTGGATCATAATCGGGTTGACATGATTAACATAATTAATAAATGAGTTGGGTTAGGGTTCACCTCGTAACACGAAGTGATACAAATTGACACGATTAACTATATGTATCGTCTGTAATCTAATGATATTTGATATAATATGAAACTTTATATGACATATTAAATATAAATAATATAAATTTTAATATTTGTACGTAAAATTCATTTATTTTTCTTAAAAAAAAGATAAATTGACTAATAAACATGTTAAACTTGTCATAGTTGTGTTGAATAAGCCATTATTATATTAGTTATTTATTCAATAAATTAATTTAAACGAGTTATGCGGGTTGACACGATTAATACATGGGTCATGTTTTGGTTAATATTCTTAACACGTTTAATAAAAATATTACATTTAAGTTAATATTTTTTAACACGATTAATAAATGAGTTAAAAATACGACACTAACGTGAATTGCTGCCGCTAGATACGACCATCCACAATACTAGAACGACATTACCTACAACGAAAACAACATTAAATGGAAAACGACAAAATCTCTAATAAAAAGAAGATCATAACCAAATAAAATCTGACACGGTAAGAGAAACGACATTAACATAAATACCAAAAACGACAATTATTGCAAACACGACAACGACATGCGAAACCTACGTAATCCAAGAAAAAAGACATTTAAAATAAAAGAAATACAGCAGACTTAAAAAGACATCAACGTAATTTTATTAAAATGGGTTAGTTTCCCATTATTCTTCAACCCTAGAATTACTCGTTATAAATTCCAATGGAAAACATACTATCCATTGGAATATAACACAAAATTCACGAAAGCCTTTAAGAGAAGGTAACACCGTATCTTTTTATAGCTTGTTACTAAACTAGCATACTCATAACGCATACGTAATTAAAGACGTTCAATGGAAAACATACTACCCAGTATCCACACATGTTTCGAACTATTTCCAAGAATATTCAAGTTTACGCTAGTTCATTATAAGAGAAGAACACAATAAGAACATTGAGGTCCCGTTCATTTAACCGATTCGTGTTTTGCTATAGTAAAAAGTTTTAAAAAACAATCACATTTAACTTTTTTATTACAGAAAAAACTTTCACATATAAAGTCATATATCAACTCAAATTAAAAATTCAAATCAGCGAACTAAACGGGCTCTGAATCATTAACGTTGTGGTAGTAATTTTCACATAAAATCACATCTCAACATGAATTAAAAACTCAAATCAGCGAACTAAACGGGCTCTGAATCATTAACGTTGTGGTAGTAAAGTTGATTGTAATTAAATTGTAGGAATATCACTATATTTAGTAGCATATTTATGTTAACTACGTTCCCATGGGAGATATTCTAATGGAGCATAAACCGAATGATTTTAGACCTCAAAAATGAAGATCCGATTTGCTGCCTTGTGATCAAATTGTACCCCTTCTAAAACAAATAAAAAAACAAACAAACTTTTTTGAGTTTATGATCTATTACAACCCTTATTAAATGAAGAAAGTGGCACCCCATGTACAACTACTAGCATTATGGTCAATCTGCAAGTTGGGTTCATAATAATGGGACCTTTTTCAAGTTCCAAAATGCAAGGAATATTTATTTCTTTACCTTTTTAGTGAAGTGAGCTACTAAAAAATAACCAAATTTTTTAGTAAGTAAAAGTGATCACAATTAACTTTCATAGGTTCAATTTTGAACACTGGGGTGAAGTTCTATGTTTTTGGTCTATTGTTGCTCGAGTGCATTTCTATTTACTTAGAATTTCGAAAAAAAATAAAAATAAAAATAAATTTCGGGTTGTGGACTAATTCAAAGGTGACACGTTTCCAAATGTAATATTAAATAACATTTTTGTTATGAGTATGGGAGTCTGTACAAGAAAACTTAAGGAAAAAAAAAGGGGGTAAATGCAGTATGTACACTTTTACGGTTTACCTAAAACTTTTGTTCGGGTGGACCACGAAAACCAAATTCAAATAATTCATTCACCCTTTTCCTCTGCAAAGAATCTTTGCAGGGTTTTGTTCCTTTCTTCTTCCCAAATGGGCCTTTCACTTATTCATTAACTTTCTTCTATTTCTTATAAAAAAAAACAAAAACAAAAAGAGTAAAGTACAAAGTATTGCATGCCCTACATGTATAGTTTCAAACTGTGAGCAAGCATAAATTAACCCCAGTTTTTTTTGAGAGTTTCACCGCAAATATGCTGCGATTTTTATCATATTCAACGGTTAAAAATTGACTCTATTAATAAGTTGATCTACCGAAGAATATCTCATTTTCTTTATTTTACTAAATTTTTATGCGATTTAACAATCAAGTAATATTTACCACAGATAGGGTATTGTTTTGTACCCAATCAGAAAAACACATCAACTTACAAATTGCGGGAAAAACAAAAATATATTACTGATGGACCGATCATCTTGCCAACTCTTCTCCTATCCAAATTTTTTTTTTTTTTTGCATGATTTATTTCCTTAAATGGCTCATGCATATTTTATAATAGGATCAACAGAGGACCTCATAGAACAAATGGGGTACTATTACATTGTTGTGTCTTTTTTTTTTTTTTTTTTTTGTAGCCCATTGAGCTAAATATGAATTCCAAATTGTAACCTTTCAACTTGTTATTTAATCTCCACGTATAGATTTAAATACATGTCTTCTAGTATATATTCCTGTCGCTTGTCCAAATTTAGGTTCTCATTATTATTCTGTTGAGTCCATAAAGACTCATTTGTCACATCAATTATCCCCCGTGTACCATTCGACATAGTCGCATAAGTTGTTGTGTTGGGTGTCACATTTTTCTGGCCCAACAACACAACTTGTATGTATTTAATTATTTATAACCTTTCATTTAGTATTCCAAAGGTTAAAAAAAAGGGTAAAAATGGTTGAGAGTGATCTTCTAGCTCCTAAAGAGAGAAATTGGAGGGTAAAAATCACCACAACGATATGTTTTGTCTCTATTTCCAGTAGTATTTCCAGTAATAGCCACACTTGCCTATTCACGAGAAAGTTTATTGAGTTCAGCTAAGAATACGACACATTTCAAGAGCATCCTAAAATGATACTCCTATAAAAATAAATAAATAAAGTGAAAATATAATATTGTGATTAATTAGCACTTAATCATGTAAATTAAACACTCCCTAAGATAGATGCTCTTCGTCTTAGGTGAAAATTTATAACAACTAAGGATTAGCACTAATTAATGATGGACAAAAAAGTAAAATAAAAATGAAAGAATGGACAAATTAAAGGGTATGAGTGGTGAAGAGAGAAAGGAGTTGGATTTTGGGGTCAGAAATATCAGAACTGAGAAAGAGCAGGGAATAGACAGTGGGGAGGAAGAGGTCAACCAGTCTGGCTCATTTCATAAATATTCTTAGTAGTCCCTGCTATCCTCTTGCACTGCACACACTCTCACATCCATTCCACACCCCCCATCCTCTCTCTCTCTCTCTCTCTCTCTCTCTCTCTCTCTCTCTCTCTCTCTCTCTCTCTCTCTCCTCATTTAGTTCGAAATGTAACTTTATGTGAAACTTTTTACTGTAGTAAAAAAATTAAATGTGACTGTTTTTAAATTTTTTTTACTATAGTAAAACTTGAATCAGTGAAATAAACGGGGGCTTAATTTTATTGTAAAAATTCCTCATTAACCTAATGAAAGAAATAATAATTCCATGTCAGTTAATATTATTAATACTATGTCCAACAGTAAATGTAAAAAAATGATAAAAAAGATAATAAAAAGAGTGATGTTAGTATTTTTCTTATATTTTTGTTAAAATTTATTAAATTTACGGTTTTTTTTCTCTTTTAACATGATTTAACATTTAAGAACATTTTTTTTAATGTCAAATATCTAAATGCTTTCTTGGCCTTCCTAGTACCTTAATTGCTAATAATTGTAATCTCTTTTTTGTTGTAGATTGACTGCTCTTGTAATTTTGACCCCTGCTTTGTTAATGAAGTTCCTTGTTGATTTTCTAACGGTAACGTCTTAATTAATACAATTCCAAATTTATTAAAAAAAAATTTATTAATAAAATATAAGGATGTGAGGTAATGAAGGGCCAATTGGAGGATTAATAAAAACAAAACAAAAAAAGAAAAAAATCAAGTTACATAAATAAGAAATAAGAAAGGCCAAGTGAGAAAGTCTACTAGGGAAGGTGAGCCAAATTCTTCACATTACTTTGACTGCTTCTTTGGAGACTGTGATGTTAATTAATACCTCCAAAGCCCCCACGCTTGCAAACACAAAATCTTATTATTTATGATATTAATCTAAGATTCTTATCATTAAAAAAAATATTCATAAAAATTAGAGAGATGGTAGCAAACAAACAAAACAAACATAGTTGTATGTGTTTAGTGATTTATTAAGGTTTTTGGATTGCAGT